AAAAAACAGCAATGTATTCTAGAAGCTTTTTTTTTGAAACTGAGGTAGTCAAAATTCGCCACCAAACCAAATCTACGCTAAGACTACTGAGAAATTAAACAGATTTCCGATACAAAAAAATTCAATTGAGGGACAAATAAATTTCTTCACAAGATGAAACTGCACTTCTTTAATAAACAAAAAAAGCCGACTGGAGCTGTAAAGATTAATGCCTTTTAAAATTTTTTAAAAGGGTGAGATGGAGAACGTAGCATTCAAAGAGTCAAAGCCGTGGCCTCCAGAAGTAGTCTGTCTGATGTCTTCTTAAGTAAGTTATCTTCCAGTTTTCGGTTGAAAAAAAATTGGTAATTTAACTTGCAACAAACTAAAAGCAAAATTGTTTAGGTTAGAAACAAAATTGAACCGTTACTGGCTTCAATACAAGGCAAAAATCCGGAGTATTCTTCCGACTTGAAGTAAGGAGTAAATATGGAGAGATTATCAACAACAAATCACATTTTAGAGTTCTGAATTTAATGGTGCAACCGAAAGTTTGATCGTTCGTTCGACGATACACCTTCGATGGGTCTCACGAACATTCGGTACTACTTGAGGTTCGTGTTACTGATTTGCTTACACTAAATATCCGAGACTCACTTTGGCAGCCTGAGCGTATTTTCAGCACTGCTGGAAACTTGTTACCAAGAGAAGGGAAACATTTAGTGGAGATCGCGTGAACAGGCAAATTTTTTTTCTCAAGAGTACGGAAAACCCCATGAATTATCGGGTTTTAGAACATTCGTCGAAAATTTGAATGTTGCTGACGAACATTCGAAGGCTGTTTTCGAATAAAAGTTGCACTAAAAATTAAATGGCCTAGTTTATCATCAAGTTTATCATCAATACGAATCTTACTTTTGCCATGATACCCTAGTTTGACTTTTAAAGGCTTTCATTAAGCACGGGTACTACGATATTCTCGATTTAAAATTCCCTGACATTTCTCGGTTTTCCCTGACATTAGCTGAAAAATTCCCTGATTTTTGCACAACGATGTGCCTCTAAATTCAAAAAACATTTCCACGGAAAAAAATCATTTTCTTTTCTTTGTCCAGTCTTTCTTTGTCCTGTTTCACTTTTTGGTCGATTATTTGGCGTTTTTTCTGCAATGCCAAAAAATGGCTCATGATCTTCCGCTTCAAAAAATGGCTCACGAACTGCTTCCTTCTGTGTATGATTCTTTTGGTCAGTTTTCAAGGCTTTTTCATAGAGTTGCCGACAACTTTTTATTGAATCCATCATACGTTTGTCCACCAAATCACGGGACAACCGCTTCTCTGAATGAAGGATCCAATCGTGTCAAGTTTTCTGGGCCATGATTTTGCGCTCCTCATGCCATTGAGACTGATGCTCTTATTTATCGAAAAACCTCCTTCGACGCGCCCATTACCATGGGACAAAATCAAGATTAGTTTTAGAGACTTATAAATGTCTGAGTCATTTTTGACATGTTGCCTAAAGAACCCATCAACTCTGTCTGATATCGAGAATTCTTTAGCAGCTTTCAAGAAATCTTCGTCAAGAAGCAAATTCTTGTATTCTTTCTTTGACTTATCAGCAACATCCGAAAAGATGTATCCGTCCTCAAAAAGCATCTGATACAGGCTTTCAGCTCTAGATACGGCAACTTTTGAATTCGTAGCCCTCAGGATTGGCGAAAAACAAGAGATGGCTCAAGTGTACTTGAAATTCAACTGAAATTTCTCGATCAGCTTCTCCGAAACCTGCAGAATAAAACTTTTCACGTCAGCATAAAACCCAAGCTTCTTTGGCTCATCCGCAGTTTTCAGCTTTTCAAGAGCGGCAATGGCAGCAGAACCAATGCACACGCTTGCATCAATCTTTAGAGTGGAATTAGAAGATGAATTCCTAAGGTCAACGTTGACCAACTTGCTGCCTGACATTATAGGCAGGCTGACGGCAGGCTGATGAGGAGTCTCAGTCGAAGGTTCGCCTTCCGGTACAGCCGGGGTGAATAATGGTCCCACTGTACGACGTAGCCTCAGTGCGTCTTGGTGTTTCTTGCCCTCTGCGTGACTTTTCAAAGAGCGTTTGCCCAGATTGCTCAACTGAAATGGTTTTCCGCGACAGATGCTACAATTTGCCGAGAACGGGTCATTTGGAATGCGCTTGACCCATTCTGCGAAATCTGGAAATTTGCTAGGATTTTCCCATTCGAGACAGTAATGCGTTTTCCTGCTTGACAATAATCTCAATCTCAAAAATAAGTCCCAACATGATTATAAGCTACTAAATGTCATTAGCAGGTCTTGACTCGAATTTCCTGACATTTCCCGGTTTTCCCTGACTCATGGGACTTCTGATTACTAGGCCAAACTGTGCATTTTGTAAAATTGTGAGCGGATTCGATTCCTTAGCAGTCAAAAATCAGATTTGTCTAGAAATCCGCAAAATTAAGAGTTTTCTTTGATCTTTGCTGTTTTGGATTCCACGGACAAATAGCTAAAACACTGTATTGCTCCAAATTGCTCCAAAAACAGGCAAGGTTGCGGAATCCGCAATAAAATGCGTGGAATCCGGAACAAACTTATGGAAACCATGAAGAAATCAAGTATGTGTTTAATAAACTTAAGCTGTCGCGGAATCCGCAACTGTAAGTAGAATCTGCAAATTGTAAGCGGAAACCGCAAAATGTAAGCGGCTTCCGCAAATTGTAGGCGGAATCCGCAATTTGTAAGCGGAATCCCATTAAATTTGCGAAATCCACCTACTTTTGCGGAAGCCGCTTACATTTGCACAATCCGGAACAACCATCTATATTTTCTCGTTGCGGAATCCGCAACAAAAACAATATGCCGACAAAATTTACGTTACAGATATATGTACGCGGAATCCACTGAAACTTTTTAATGGAATCCACTTTCACTTTGAAGCTTGTTTTAAGACTTGTCTCTGAAATCGAGGAACATACAGACACAACATTGTGCGCCTATCTAGTGCACAGTTTGGCATTGTAATGATAGCTAAATAATTGGATCATTTAGTCAGCAAAACGGAAAAAAGACAACAACGTAATCTCGAAGCTTTTTTTAAACTGAAAGGTCTTCAATTTGATACCACACTATGGGACTCAGAGGTAGTCAAAATTCATCGGCAAACCAAATCTAAGCTAAAACTACTGAGGCATTAAACAGATTTTCAATACAAATTTCATATAACGAACAATTTAATTTCTTCACAGGAGAAAGCTGCCCTTCTTCAACAAACAAAAAATTGGCGACCGGAGCAGTAAATTTCAGTGTCATTTACAATTTTTTGAAAAGGCGGAGAAGGAAAAAGTACCATTTGAAAGGATTCAAAGCCGTGGCCTCCAGAAATAGTCTAATGTCTTCTTAAGTGAGTTATCTGCCAGTTTTCGGTTGAAAAAATGAAATTCCTAATTTAAATTGCAATAAATTAAAAGCAAAACTGTTCAAGTAAGAAACAAAATTGAACCGTTTCTGGCATCAATGAATGGCAAAAATCTGGAATTTTCTTCCGAATTGAAACTAGTAGTAAGTTTGAAAAGATTTTTAGGACCAATTTATATGTTATAGAATTAAATTTAATGGTGCAACCAAATGTTCGATCGCTCGTTCAACGATACACCTTTAAAGGCTCTCGCGAATATTCGGTCCTATTTGACCTACGTTTTATTGATTTGCTTACACTAAATGTCCAAGACTCACTGTTTTGGCGAGGAAAAATTCCATAACATTCAAGAGGCCCATGTCTGAGCGTGTTTCTTTCAGCACTGCTGGAAACTTTGTTACCAAGGAAAGGGAAACTTTTACTGGAGATCGCGTGAACATTCAAAACCCTCTGCATGAAAATTTGAAAAACTTTAAATAAATTTTGCATTGATTTTTTTCTCAAGAGTACAGAAAAACCCCAATAATTATCGAGTTTTTGACCGTTCGAAGAAAGTTCGAATGTTGCTGACGAACATTCGAAGGCTATTTTTGAATAAATTTTGCACTAAAAAATAAATTGCCCAGTTTATCATTACTACAAATCTTAGTTTCGCCATGATACCCTAGTTTGGCTTTAAAAGGCTTTCAATGAACTAGTAATTCAGCTTTGAGTTCTGATATACATTCTAGCCATTAAAAAAAAGATATAGAAAAACCGAATTTTCTCAAATTTGAATGCTGAGGCTACTTTTTTCTTTAAAGGTTACATATTTACATATTCACGAACTGATTAAATTTTTAACAACATCATCCATGTAAGCAATTGCACAGCCAAGTTAAACTGTAAAAGTTTTAGCATGGATTAAGGAGAAATAAAAGTTTCCGGGCTTCGAATTTAAATTTCTGTAGAAAAAAACTAGCTGATAGATAACGTTTAGCTTTCAATTTTCTCGTATAATTTAAAGGTCGGTATCGTCAAATAAGAGAAAACTGAACAAAACAAGATGCTCCGCAACTTCAAAGAAGTGTTTATTGAAAATCACCAAGATTTTGTTTATTGTTTTTGTAGTTTCATTTTTCTACTTTTTGCTTTTACGGGTATATCACAAAACTTAGACGATAGTTATATTTAATTTATACATAAATTTGCTCAATAAACCCGGATGTTTCGAAACATCTGTTTTTTGGTCAAAAACCCGGATTTTTTTATATATGTGTACAAGATATCGCTGTTTAGAAGCGGTGAACCTTTGATCAGAGGCGTCACATTTGACGACCTATAATGTTTGCTTGAACTAAAAATTCACTTGGAAACTATTTTATTATAACACACGCTTTTGCTTGCGCTAATTGTTCTATACGTTGATTTAGCTGTTATTAACTAAATTCAGGCGCCTCTGATTTTAATGCTTTTTTCATGTTTCTTCAAGTCTTTGGACTGCAACTGTATGCTCTTGTATCGTTTTTATAAATAATTCTGGTTCAGGGCCAAAAGCTACTGACTTTTCTCTCAGTCATTATTGACTTTTTTGACAAATGGATGTTGAAATTTACAATTTTTCGATGTACAGTTCTAGTTCAATGAACACTTAGATCGCTAAATATTTACAGCTACTTGCATTTACTATTTACATGATTTGATATTTGCATTTGATATTTACATAATTTGATAAGTTACATTTGATAGACTAGTTTTGATTTGCTATTCTGATCATTATGAGCATATAGATTTTCCGATCCAGTCATCTGAAAGAGATCTTCGTTAAGTTTCTGAAATGAATCTTCAAATGAACGTGAACTGTATTGCATCGCACCTTGAGACAGTTCATTTAACTATCCCCTGCCAATAACATCACTAGCACGCTTGACATCTAGTAGAACAGTAAATTTGGATGTGTTGATTTCTATCTACTATTCGTTTACAGAAGATCGCTCGCTGCCTCTATCGCTATTGTGGGCGTATCTTCTCTAGCGTTTGAATTCCTCGATTCTCTCATCGCATTTTGATCTTCCACTTGCAAAACTGTCAACAGAGCCATTCGCCTACAGACTGCACTGTCTAAGAAAGCGATTATTGCACTGTCATTTAGCGCATACTGCACACTAAACACGTCAATCATGCAGTTGAAACTGCTCACTTGAGATCCGTCGTAGAAGTTCCATACGTTTATCCACCCATCTGTAGAGCCAGTGGCCAGAAGCGTCTCTGAGAAGTTTAACCCAATGGTGCATACTTTACCCTGATGCGCCTGAATTTTCATGAGCGGCACTGCTTCGGTTGCATTTTTGAAAGCAGCTGTTTCGTATTTCATCACAAGTCCGTCTTCGAACCCCAACAGTAAATTTATTTCGCCTTTCGACACATACTTGCATTTCAAATGATCCATCGCATCACACATTTTTCCTTCATTTAGAACTTTTCCGCTATCGATTGAGAACACTTCATACGCCACGCAAGACTCTTTCAGTAAATGTGAACACACCAAAATCTTGGCCATCACAAAACATGCATCAATTGTGCTGTTCAAGTATTTCGACTTGATCAAATTCTTGCCTGTTTTGTTTTCGTACACCTGAACAAATAAACTCGAATCCCAGTTATTCGATGCCAGAAGAACAATACTCTGGCCGTCGTGACTCGAAATGATTCGTTTGACATCCGCAAAGTCAACATTTGGAACTTCGTAGAGAGAAATTTTGTCAAGTTTGTCTGACGACAAAGCCCACAGAGTTACTTTTGCACTGTTCGAGATACTTTGCTGGAAGTAAGAGACAAAGAACTTTTTGTCTTTGGAAATGACCCCGAATTTGCATTGCAACCGCGTGTTATTGAACAATTTGCGAGTTAATACGTCCCAAATATACAACTTTTCATTGTATATTCCACAAATTTTAGGGTCAATATTAGGCTGAGTGGGTAAGGCAAACATAAATACAGGGGTAAGTGAGGCAGTTTTCTCCTCTATAGGGAAGGAACCCGAAGGTAAACCTGTAAAAATGTCCCACAGTTGGAAACCATGCTGTTTAGAAGCCGAGACCAGAGTCTCCTTCTGATTGACTAGCACAACACACCACTCTTCTATTTGGGATCTGACATAACTGAACGCAGTCTGGTCTTCTATCTCAGTTGTGACTATATTTAAAACATTGTTCACGTTTTTACCAATATTGAGTGTCAAGTTTTGTTCTAACAGCACTCGTTTTTCATCAACAGAGAGAGTCTGTGTCTCGGATGATCCTTTTTTAGACGTTTCCAAGCCTTTGAATAAACTAGATACATTCCACACACATACTTCGCCAGAAATACTCGCTGCAACAATGTGAGTGCTTTTTCCAATCATGCAGATGCTCGATATATTGACTTTGAGACCCCGCAGGGTTTTGATACAGAAACCGTTGTGACAATGCCAGACAGACACTGAGTTATCGAAGTTGTCTGCCACGACGCAATATTGTCCGTTGTCGCTCAAAGTTGCGTCGACTATGTTAGTATCCCGATTATTCGGGCACAATCTATTCACCCGTTCACCTTTCACGCAGTCAAAAACAATCACGCCTGGGTTAACGTCGCCACATACCACAAATTTATCATGCTTATTTGGTCTCATGACCGTCATCCATCTTGTACTGTCAAATAATTGCTGCGTGATGATTCTCGACTTTTTCAAGTCAATCAATGCAAGCGCGTTCATTCCAAGTCCAACGATTGCCATCGTTCCCGACTCCGTTGCGTGGAGGTGTATGATCGGTCCTTTCAGGCCCCGGATGAAGTTTTTCACATCTTTGTCAATCTTCATTTTCACTACACACTCATCATTATGGTCACCTCCTATTAGAATGCTCTTCTGCTGAGGAATATCTTCAACTGCCGTTATCGTTAAGATCGACTCTATTACTTTCGCGTTTTGCAATGTGTCGATTTTTAACATGTACACTTTAGAGTTCTCCCGTTGGTGCTGTCTTGGAACGCCAACAAATATATGCTTCGAATCTTTAGCCAGAGCTATGCATTTGTAATTGTTAAACATGGTTCTACACGCTATTTGGTTCAGAGACTTTGCGTCATAAACTATCAGCGAGCGACTTTCCTTCACTTTTCCTTGCTGATTGTTCGTATTCACCGGTTTCGCAACAGTTACAACTACAAGATACTTCTTATCCGCAGACAGAAGGAATCTGGAGGTTTCCACATTGATCGACCACAGTTTCTCCTGTGTGTCAACGTCAAACTCTTGAATTCCTTTCCCCGTTCTGCACATCAATGTTGAGCCACCGGTATGAGTCGTCTCCCAGAACGTTCCTTCGACTAGTGAGAAAGTATTTCGCAAGTAGCTCGCACACGGCACGTGGCATTGAAGTTTGGGGATCAGCCAAACTCCAGGCGTTGAGTTGATGTAGCTCCTCGCACCATCTAACAAGGGCTGAAAAGTTTCCGGAGCCACTTGCTCAAATGCCAGCATTTTTGAAATCATAATCAGAGGAACATCCCGCATTTTGGCCATACTTTTACTCCTCAAAAAGTAGAGGAAGTCTAAAACCACAGATGCAAATACGATTCCACTTGAGAGCGCTAACGAGTAATCTTGAAGGAGATCGCTAATTGAGAAATTCGCAATTTTGGAAATGATGAAGTCGTAATTGAACAGGCACTTAGATTTAGCCTCATCGTACTGTTTCGCAGAGAGAAGCAACATCGGTAGAATCGATAGCAACCTGACTGGCGAGTTTCCGCCGGATGCAAAATCGGAACAATACGCTACCAGCTCCTTCTGACTATTGGCAGGATACTCCAAGGTTGTAATCGGCTCTTGCGGTACTTCTTGAGACGTGAGATACTTTACTGCACTAGTGAACAATTCGTCTGCCTCCTTGTTACTTTTTGACTTGAACCGGTTCTCCAACTCGTCTCTCAGAGGGCCCACGGGTAGTCGGCAGGTAACAATTCCATATGTCGTCTCAATGCACAGAACCCTTCTGATCACGTAGAAAAATTGACTCACTATCGAATCGCGAACAGGCACTACCGAGCAGTGACTTTTAGGAGCTTTTTTGTACATCAGTTTTAACAGTTCCTGGTCATACGACAAGATTGTTCGCAATTCAATTTCAGAGATACCGAAGTCTTTGAACAAGAAAAGGTATTGAAGAACTTTTCTCGCGAGCAGAGTTGGCTTCATATTGAGCAAGTCATCTACGAAGTACTTAACTTCAATCTTGAACCGTTGCAGTAACTCTTCGAACTCTCGTGTATCATGCGCATGCGTCCATGATTTAGTTTGATGCACTACAAAATTCATTTGGTGCAAATCTTGATTCATGACCAATGCTTTAGACACTACTTCCATTTGAATTTCAGATAGAGTTCGGTTGTGATTTTCAGTCAGTTGGAAATGAATCGAGTCCCCTATGTCTTCAACTGAAGGACCAGTAAAACTGAACACATTATTGTTATCAGAGGCTCCGTATTTACTAATCAACAGTTTGCTCAAATCTCCCACTGCACAAGTAACTATAAAATTGACATGGGCGGGTAACTTATGTGGTAACCAATGTAAGGCATTCGCGTTTTTCTCACTGCTTAGATGGTTGAGGCCATCTATAATTATCAACAATGGATGGTCTACGTCAATTGGCAACGTTTTGAAACATTTCTCAAGCAGATACAAAGACTTAGTTAACGTTTCACAAGAGTCTATTTCTTGCTGCAACTCAGCATCCAGCTTATTATAGCCTAGGCAAATCTCTTTCAGGATTCCCAGCATCAAAGATGGCGCATTTACACTTTTTGAAGTGGCTTGAGCTAGCCTGAGGGACATCACCATTCCAGCGGCCAGGTAATCTCTGGCTTCTGAGGCCAATGCCGCTGCGAACGTTGACAACCCAGTCCTGGGCTTTCCTGCTATAATGTAGATATTCTTCGGATCTGGGATTTCGAGGAATGTGATTATTTTCCGAAATAGTGTCGCAGCTGAACAGTGATAATCTGTGAGTCGTTTAGCGTAGTAAAGATGTGTTAATTTTTCCTCTTCCAGTTCTGGGCACTGGAGTTTCGGAGCTGCTTCAAGTTTCTCGTCAATGACACGTTTAATGTTATCAATGAACTTCCCATTTAGGTCCTGCAAGTAGTAAGCCTGTTCTTGGATGAATTCAGGGTCCACTCCGACTCTCGAATTCCATTTGACGTTGAACTTGGTCACATTTTTTGACGGGAAGTTCCGCTCGATTACGTCATATATCAATGTGTCCAGTAAATCTCTGCGCCGCTTGTCGATCGAGCCATCAGGTGCAATGTCGAAATATGTCTCGAGAACTTCCATGTTTTCTAAACATTAACAGCGCCTATATTACTCAATTCCATATGATGAAACCTACCATTGGGACCACCAAGCCATTGGGGGGATGTTAACTTGGTTCAAAGTTAGGAAGTTAGGAATTGAACTTGGTCTAACTGGGGGTGGGGGTGGGGAGGGGAGGGGCTGTTTATTTCCATTCAGCTGCTCCAGCCATTTAGTTAAATCAGCAGTAAATGATTTAACTTTTAATCTTTTCGTTCAAGGGACTGCATTGGTTAAGCAGGGGAGTTACTAACGAGAATTGTTCTCCATGAATCGTCTGACGAAGAAGAGTGATTCGTTGGGCAGTTTCTTCCTACGAGGCAAGGCTGTTCTAACTTCACGCTCGTACACTAAGATACAATATGATATGATATAACTAGAAGCAGGGGCTCTTAGGAGTCCCATCAGTTATAAAAATCAAAACATACCCAATTGAAGATTGGAAAAAAGTACTGAACGCATATAAACATAAAAGAAAACACTGACTTTGTTAACAAAAACCTCGACCTTAACTCTTTTACTTTATATATCACACGAAAAAATTCGATAATTTCTTTTTGTTTCCGATCAGGATTTGAACCTGGTCATCCGGCCTGTGGGACCAAAATATATACGCTCGGCTATGGTATGAGTTAAAATACAACTTTAAATTTGTTCAAAAATTAATCCGCTTTCCTTTTAATTCCCCACTTTTGTCGGGAAAAAGTTGGGGTTTTCTCCCAGGGAAGTGAATGGAAATTGAATCGGAAACAATGGAAACCCGAGGAAAAAATAACGGTACGTTTGCGAAATCGGCTTTGTACACTCGAAAACGTAACGTTAAACGCTCGCTATGGGCTAGCGCGCGCTCGTATGGAGGACTGGCGCAAAAAGCGCCGACCGCTTTTTGCCACTCAGGGTTCTTGGCTTAACTTTCGAATTTCAAAGAAAACAATAGATGCCCATTAAGCTCGTTAAATCTTTAGACCAATTTATGATTGGTGCTTTTTTGATAACATGAACCCAACTAGAGAAAGTAGATGAATAGGTAAAGTTTTTATTCCGCTGGAAATCTTAAAATTAAATTCTTCCACTGTCAAAACTAGAAATCGTTCATGTTTTTGCGCCATGTAGATATTCTTCGGATCTGGGATTTCGAGGAATGTGATTATTTTCCGAAATAGTGTCGCAGCTGAACAGTGATAATCTGTGAGTCGTTTAGCGTAGTAAAGATGTGTTAATTTTTCCTCTTCCAGTTCTGGGCACTGGAGTTTCGGAGCTGCTTCAAGTTTCTCGTCAATGACACGTTTAATGTTATCAATGAACTTCCCATTTAGGTCCTGCAAGTAGTAAGCCTGTTCTTGGATGAATTCAGGGTCCACTCCGACTCTCGAATTCCATTTGACGTTGAACTTGGTCACATTTTTTGACGGGAAGTTCCGCTCGATTACGTCATATATCAATGTGTCCAGTAAATCTCTGCGCCGCTTGTCGATCGAGCCATCAGGTGCAATGTCGAAATATGTCTCGAGAACTTCCATGTTTTCTAAACATTAACAGCGCCTATATTACTCAATTCCATATGATGAAACCTACCATTGGGACCACCAAGCCATTGGGGGGATGTTAACTTGGTTCAAAGTTAGGAAGTTAGGAATTGAACTTGGTCTAACTGGGGGTGGGGGTGGGGAGGGGAGGGGCTGTTTATTTCCATTCAGCTGCTCCAGCCATTTAGTTAAATCAGCAGTAAATGATTTAACTTTTAATCTTTTCGTTCAAGGGACTGCATTGGTTAAGCAGGGGAGTTACTAACGAGAATTGTTCTCCATGAATCGTCTGACGAAGAAGAGTGATTCGTTGGGCAGTTTCTTCCTACGAGGCAAGGCTGTTCTAACTTCACGCTCGTACACTAAGATACAATATGATATGATATAACTAGAAGCAGGGGCTCTTAGGAGTCCCATCAGTTATAAAAATCAAAACATACCCAATTGAAGATTGGAAAAAAGTACTGAACGCATATAAACATAAAAGAAAACACTGACTTTGTTAACAAAAACCTCGACCTTAACTCTTTTACTTTATATATCACACGAAAAAATTCGATAATTTCTTTTTGTTTCCGATCAGGATTTGAACCTGGTCATCCGGCCTGTGGGACCAAAATATATACGCTCGGCTATGGTATGAGTTAAAATACAACTTTAAATTTGTTCAAAAATTAATCCGCTTTCCTTTTAATTCCCCACTTTTGTCGGGAAAAAGTTGGGGTTTTCTCCCAGGGAAGTGAATGGAAATTGAATCGGAAACAATGGAAACCCGAGGAAAAAATAACGGTACGTTTGCGAAATCGGCTTTGTACACTCGAAAACGTAACGTTAAACGCTCGCTATGGGCTAGCGCGCGCTCGTATGGAGGACTGGCGCAAAAAGCGCCGACCGCTTTTTGCCACTCAGGGTTCTTGGCTTAACTTTCGAATTTCAAAGAAAACAATAGATGCCCATTAAGCTCGTTAAATCTTTAGACCAATTTATGATTGGTGCTTTTTTGATAACATGAACCCAACTAGAGAAAGTAGATGAATAGGTAAAGTTTTTATTCCGCTGGAAATCTTAAAATTAAATTCTTCCACTGTCAAAACTAGAAATCGTTCATGTTTTTGCGCCATTTCCACGTTCGTATTTGGAGAGGGCTATTTACGTCACTTTCAGCAAAAAGTGCATATATACCTACGTGCATTCGTAAATGCATCAGTATGTATGAATGCACATCTGTAGTTATTAGAGACTTTTAAGACTTTTTCCTGAAAAAAAAAAATCAGCAAGACCTATATAAGAGTCTTCACTACGTTCATTACTCTTAAACACATCCAGCAGACAGCTAACTTAGAAAAAACAAGATAGAAAACGCTGCGCCAAATTCAGACGAAAGATAGGAAGCCGATATGAAAAAGACGAATTGTTGAATGAACATTAACCAACCTCTTCTAGTTTAGGGTAAGTCAGACGAAAATAGATATCCTAAAATAGTACCAAGAGTAAAACCTTAGGTGGTCACGGACTCGAATACCTGAGGGAGGTGGGACGCCCATACCCCCGCCCCAACTAAATCCGCTACTGGACATAACTAAGCCTGAGTTAATATTTTATTCTACTCCTCTGAAAATTGAATGAGATAAATTCACAATTCATCAATGAAATTTTAAAAAAAGAAGGCCAAATTTTCGTTATCGAGAGAATAACTGATGCCCAGTTAGAAAATGAATTTGAAAAGCTTTCTCGATAGTCAACGCGCCGAAAAGAGAAAAACATTTTTTTTTGTAAATACGACTTAAAAATTCAAAAAACAACAGAAAAGCCGACTAGGAAAATTTTCATATTATCTAGAACTTCATTCCGTCTTAATTATACCGGAACGAATTTGGGAAGAAATAGAAGCAAAGCGAAATTACAACTAACCCGACATGAAATATTTCATTTTTTGCTCAGTTGTGAACGCTTTCTCAGCATAAGCCTTCTCCGCTGCTAACTGAAACGCAGTAGTGAGAGTTTTGTGCACCAATTTCTGCAGATCAAACTTGTTCATCTTCATGCTTTGTTCTTGCGGCAAAGAATCCTTGAAAACGGTAAACACATTTTCGTCTTCAAATACATACGTAACTGGATCCGAATTGTAGTCCAGTTCATAGACCAGGAACACCAACTGCTTGTCTTCGTAGCTTTCCATGAACCGAAGCAAAACTTCCAGATCATTCTTCAGAATGATTCTCGGCAACGGCGTATATCCGTACTTCTCTCCAACTAGGAAAATTGACGATACTGCAAAGGAATTATCTATGCAGTGCTTCAACTCTGAAACTCTAACATTGATCAGCTCTGGATCAAACATGTAGGAATTATCGATGTAGGAATCTGAGAGATCAACAACTTGGAGATCTAATCCTTTTGATTTACAGTAAGCTTGCACTTCTGGAATTGAGCCGTACAAAATCGTTTCCTTTTCGTATTTCATATCATCGCCCGTAGAACATAGATACACACGCATTGTTTTGGATGGCTTTGCAGGCAAGCTCTGGTACATTGTTTTGCTGTGAAGCTGACTTCTAGAAGGCGCGAAACAGCGAACATCTCCTTCTGGTAGCTGTTTAATGAGGAACTCCTGAATGTCCATAGGCAAAGCTTTCTGGGATATTTCTGACTGGTTTGCGTTCTTAATCCCAGACACTTCGGTTTCCTCTTGAAGAGCTTTCGCCTTCTCTTCTGCATTTTCAGATCCTTCCGGCACTGCACTAACATTGGTTTCCGATGAAACATTTTGTGCTTCGTTTTCGTTATCTGTACCCGTTTTTTCGTGTTCACCCTCGCTTGTTTCTGGATCTACAATTCCAACATCGGCTTTGGTGAACTTGGTCGTTGTGATACGCTGCTTGGGCTGTTTCGGTTTAAACATCTTTAACTTGCCATCATCTAGTACTCCTGAGTCACACAGTTCTCTGTAAGTATGTTCGATGCTCAAGTTGATATCTCCCAACAGATCGTCTACTGTGGGCACATCATTGCCGCCTAGCTCTCCCAAGGATCTACTGGATCCCAGATTGAAGCTTTCTTCCATACTCCGACCCGTTTCTAACTGCTTTATTTCCAACAATGGCGACAGGCGAGACCGATCAGAGAACAACTTGACTCTAGCGGTGTTAATTGCACTGTCAGATTGATGATCTACAGGTTTTGGTTCACTTGAATCAGGTCCAGTTTTCACTATCTCTGGTTTAGTTAAAACTCTCGCCATTGGCAACTGATTTTCATCATTAATTTGCACCGAACTTCTCGGTGAAACACTCAACAAGTTACTGTTCGGGTTGAAATTAAAATGATTTGACGACCTTTGCGATTTACGACTACTCTTAGGCGTTTGTTGATCAACAATTGGTGCAAGTTCTGACTCGGTCTGTATCCGCGGCGATGGAACTGGAGCCCCCCTCGCACTTCCCACTTGTGATTCAAAACTGTTGTTAAGGCGATCTTCCATCTCAGGCATTTCACGAGGGGTCGGCAAGTGGTCATCAACATTGAACTCGCCGGGAGGCTGAACTTCGAAAGTTATTGCTGGTCTGGCCGGTTTAGCTTTTATGGCCAGTATCGGGTTCTTTTTCTTCCTCTTACGGTCTCCAAACAGTTCCTGGAAGGTCTTTCCTGAGATCTGTGCATCTGCCAGAGCTGAAACAACGGAGGCTTTTTGGAACCTACAATAATCTTGTACGGTGATTAAAAAGCAGATATGATGATAGAAAACACTGTCATTGAAAAGCAACAAAGCGTAAAACTGATTAACACGATAGAAACAATTTCGAATCAGAATAGATTTGGTTAGTAATCTTGTAAAACACGCTTCAAAATACCTGTTGAAACTCGGGCCGCATGTGCTGTCAAAAAATACCAATTAACAATTCAACGATAACTAAGATTTTGAAAAATCATTCAGATTTCGACTCCTGTTACCTTTCTCGGAAGCTGAGTAAAGTTTAGTAGGCATTGGTACGATGCAGGCAGAGCTATTCTTGTACTCCGGCTCGGGCAGGGCATACTTCTTGGAACCAGTCTCCCAGTAGACGCCAGAAGGAGGGGGTTTATTCAAAGCTACTCGTAGAGATACGTTCTCATCTCCAGGCAGTTCCTAATCAAACTTATATTTCATGTTCTGATGTACAACTCGTGATTCACGTTAATTAAACTGAATATCGTCGAAATAGAAAAAAAAGAGGCGAAGCGGAGCTTTACACCTCTGCATATCCAATCAGAACAATCGGGTATAAAGGCCCTATCCGCTATAGTATAAGTTCAAAATTTACAAAAAAAAACGAAAAACAAAATTTCAAACACATGAACGCAAAAATTACAAAAAAAACGGCCACAAAAAAGAATTTGCAGATAATCTGAAAAACCTCTGAAAGCCTATTACATCAAGAATTATCAGTTATGAAGTTTATAAGCAACGGTAAAAGAGCTACAAGACAGCACAAAAAATAACATAAAAAGAACCTCGTGCAGAACTTGCCGCCACACTGAATCTCGTTCAGAACTTGCCGCCACATTCCTCTGTAGACAAAAAATCGAGTCCAATTTGCAAAAAAAATCTGGAAATTAATCATTTTTTTTGAAAAACTAAAACAATACGTTAAGCCATCAACTTGAATCGATTTTAAAAAAATTGCTTAAACTTAAAACACACCTAACTAATTAAAAACTAAAATAAGTTTCACGCACTTTTATAACAAAAAATTTAGAAACCATGCATGCGAAACTGAAAAAAAAACTGAAAATTGTAAGAGAAAATTTTGTCGCCAATACAAACCAGAAAACCATGAACTATAATTACCCTCATAAAAATGAAAAAAAGTATCAAAAAATCTGCCAACAATTACAGAATTAATTACCGGCAAGTAAGCCGAAAAAAATTGGGTTTGAATTAATAAAGCGTCAAACAAATCAACTTACTAAAAATCTCTTTCCTCTGTAAAAATATTATCACTATACTTTTTGAAGCCAGCTTTTGAGTTACAGCTGTTAGACGTGCATCTTGAGTAGACTTAAGTTCAGTCATCCTGTGAACAAAGTTGATTACGGGGAAAAAAGTCTAGTACCCGCTTGTAATACCTTGCTTATCGCAAATTAAAGATGTTGCAACAAAATAGGCCGACACATTTAAAAAAAACAGATACTGATCAAATTCGAACCGAGGACCTTGCCGTCCCAAGTATATTTCTTACTTCCAGCCTTAGTGTTTAGGTTGGTGTCTAAGATAAAAAAAATTTTACACAGAGGCGAAGTTTCACTTCGCATACACAAGCAAAAACATGACCGATAATGCTACTGGGAAAAACTGAATGAACAAAAGCAGTACCAGTCAATTTGAAAAAAAATTTATCAACTAACATGCCTCAATTTATAGAACAGTCCATGGAGCAGTAATAACACGAAAAAATTAAATGTAAAAATAAAATGAAAATGTGAAAATCATCCCCACACACACCATATTAAGTAGAAAGTGATAAATTTCGCTCCTAGTAACAAATCAATTATGGCAAATAAGCTTCCTTCAATCAATTTAGAACAATTTCTATGACGGATTAAATCTCCGCTTGCGCGTTAATAGCGCGAAATATATCGCGCGTTAATTGTCCCGAATTGACAATTTTCAAACCCACATAACTTTACGAAAAATGATCACAGGTAAAATATCTTTCTAAATTCAAGCTCAGGGCAACAATACTTTTTGAGTGATGAAAAATTCCGTCAATAATGGCTAGTTAAAAAGTCGTATTTGTCTGAAGAAAAAAACACCCGAGCACAAATATTCCCTTACTTTGGTTACGAAAGTCCGAACAATAATAGTCTGTGTTAAAATCCTTAGCAATGGCTGTACTTAATAGCTGGTTTTCGATCAAAATTAACACTTTCAAATTGAACACATTTTATCGCAACAATATTTGCGTCGCATCAATATTTGCGACTTAGGTTGGAAAATAAAAGATATTTCATACTATAACACAAGCATTGTTCGTGTAAAAATGATTCTGATAAGCAAGTTAGTAACCAAAAAAAAATTACATTCCGATTTGATCACGCTTGCTAATCGCAATAATCCATTTACATTTCACAAATTAACAATTTAAGTTCTCTTTCTGCAAGAAACTTTATTCTATCTATATCAGTTGATGCTAATAAGTAAATTGCAGGCAGAGCTAAGTCGCCAATCTTCTACTCCAATTTTACCACGTTTAACTTACATCTTCTTCGGTAGTTTCCTGTAAATTGCGGAAGATGATAACCATAGTAACTTAACCATAGTAGGCAATTACCATTTGAAGCCTAGGTCAATTCGAACTAAATTGATTGCCAACAAAAACTTCGATTAAAAATTGGAATTAGACTAGAAACAAATTAAAAATCCCGATGATATTTCGGGCCTTGAGTTTTGAAAATGAAACGGAACTTTTAAGCCACCTAACCTGTCGTTTCATCGGTCCCTCCATGTCAATCATATCCCTAAGAGATGCCCATCCGTAATACAGGGACTTCTTTCCCAGACGGGAATCATACTTGGGAAATCTATTCCCCGGCTCAGCATACCCGCCCACATTGGCACAGGGAGCTGAGGCTAAGTTATCCCGAGGCTCGCCCAAGTAGTTCTGACTGCGTCTCGATCTAGCAGGGATTGAGTCTGGATCAAAGCTGACATTTGATGGTTTTTGAGAGGGTCTAGACTCAGTTTCCTACAAACAATGGTTTGAACTTTCTTTAATTAAACCCTGACATCGATGTGCAAGTAACAATTCCATCGGTAAAATCCCATGTGATGTGAAAGTAGATTATTATTTTTAATGAAGTCTGGTTAATTTCATTCTCAAGGGGCTCTTCTCGTCTTCGTGCGACTTAATATTCCATTAATGGAACTCTTGTAAAGCTATTATACTATTGCTATATTCGCAGAAGGTTAATTACTGCTTTCCAGTTATTGCGTAGAAGTGGATACTCGATATAAATGTTGACTAACTTCTAACATTATTCTTTCAGTGGCTCTCTACATCGGTCAATCGAATACATATGGTATCGTGAACAAAGAAATGAATACCTTGTGGTATGTCTGGTAGACTCGCTTGTTTTCTTCCCAGAAGCGCTCTGAAAATTAACACATTTCAAATCTGCCACAAGCAAGCAGAGGCAATCGCCCAACTGATGACTAAAATGAGTCAAAAATCATTTTATCAGCTCCTCTATCGTAGTGATGTTCAAATGGATAACTTTTTTCTCCCAAAATGAGCATAACCGCCAAAACTTGCATTATTTGGACCCTTAACTTTAAAATTGCGCTCATTTTACCTCCTTAAGGTCTCACTCGTCTTAACAGACTTAATCTCGTTGAGAAGACTACGAGAATTCAATTTTGATAAGATGATAATTTAATGATGTCGATAATGATTCGTTAATGCTACTTGTGAGCTGGCTTACTATTCAGATGCCGTTTATGTTCTGCATTTAATATACAAGATAGTTAATCGTTAAAAATACAACTTGAAGGTGGGACTTTCTTATTTATACGGCCAATCTATTTAACTTTTTTCGGCCAATCATACGTTTAAGCAAAGATAATTACACTTATAGCGAGTTGAGAACCATTGACATTTACAGATCAAATACAATGATCAATTTTTGAAGGGCGTTCAAATTTTGAAAGACTACAATCACGATACTAGAAAATATTTCAAAGAACGAGGTTCCAAGACAAAAAAGAGGTTCCAAGACTAAGGGGAGAATGAACCCATAAACCTTACCCTAAAATCGTACATCGAAAACCTGCAACATTACATGAATACATCAAAAAGGTTTTCAACTTGGGTGGAAAATGTTTAACTCATGCGCAACGTCCGCGCTGACAACTAAGCTGACAAATAAAAGCAGACAACCGATAGTCCGATCGATTGTTTGTTCTGATGGGTACTGATTATCATGTCAAAGGCCAAAAGGATGATACCTCCAGGCTCAAATTGATTATGATAAGCGAGCAAATTATTTGGTAATTCTGTTTGACAAGTTGTTCACGTAAAAATAAGTCTATGTTCCGATTTAATTCTTTATTCCACTTGATTAATCTAGTAATTAAAATCTAATTTCGAAACTATAAGTGGTTCAAATTTTTTGCGCCATTTCCGCTTTCGTCATTGGAGAGCGCGATTTGCCTTCCTTTTAGCAAACGAATTTGAAATAATCTTAAGAGAAATCAGGAGACAAGTCGAACCACAAAATATCAAATTTGGCGTGAACTTATCTCGAAAAAAATTAACACCCTCTTTATCAGTGTTTTCACAACGTTCAATGACACTTGAAAAAAAAACTTGATACTATGGGAGTTAAATCCTTACTTCGGGGGCTATACCACTTGTCTTGACCACTCGGTCATGATGCCTTGCCTGCTACATATTTCACGCAAACTTGAATGCGCTTTGATACTGATGACGCTGGACAAAATGCTGCCAAATAAACGTATAGATGAAAGACTTAGTTTAAAAAAAGCGGACTAGCGGTACAGCAGTACGCTCCAAACTCGCTTCTATACTAAATATTCACTTTGCAAAAAAGAATGTGAACATGCGCTACTTACACAGCAAATGATTTCTTTAGAACGAGTTCATATTGACACCGTATTTTTATGCTGAATAACTCACCAAATTCATCGAGACCAAAACTGGTTGACGACGGCGGCTAAACACATCAAGACATAGAGAAAACGTGAAACTGGATATACTCAATTTTCCAATAAGACTTTAAAAGATTATAGCTTACTGGAGGTTTCCATTCTTTATTGTAGTGCTTGCGAATGATATTTGCTGTTTTAGCATCAACTGAAAGTGGGTTGTTTTTCATCGCTCATACTCACTGAAACTGCCAGTAAAATTTAACATGATCATTCTATTCTATTTGAGACATGAGCTCTGAGCTAATTGCACAACAGAGAAACATCGCCATTCCTTTGCTTTTTTTTTACTTCATTTAACTCAATTACGCCTATAATAACTGTACAGGTTCACAGCAATTTATTTGTCACAGTCAAATTACAAAAACAACCTCAGTCATATCACGCATCGTGGCATTTAATACATCAGTGTTACAACCAACCACGTACTGCGGCAAAACCAAAAACCTTGGTTTCGATTTTTTAAACGGAAAAACACCACATATAAACTTCGTATGGTATCAATTTTTATTAATGCCTTAGCTTTTTTCCATTAAAGCCTCAACCTCCACCCTATTAACAAGAAAATTAAAGCAACACACATTTATGTTTACCGAGGCGAAGCAGAGCTTTAAATTACTTGCGATAAAAAATATTTGACAGTTTATAGCGTAAAAAAAACACTTGAAAATATACGAGCTATTACGTTTTTCAAAAAAAAAATTCAAGTACTTCAAGAATGGGCACAATCGAGCCAAACTAAAACCAAGCGAATGAAGTAATTTAAAAAAATTGTTTTCACATTTGATTATGGCATTAAATCTATTACATAGAGGCGAAGTGGAGCTTCGCATCACTTGCGATACAACGCAAACGTAGCATTGCCAGCTAGCGAACAGAAACTAGGACGGAAACAACTACGTCAAAAAAGTTACTGTTTATTGGATGGTTTTTTGGAAGAAATACAAAATTCAATTACAGAAAAAGTCGAGCAAAATAAAATACCAGCATTAAAGAACTTACCGAGCCGCTTCTAAGCCAAAAATAAGTAGACGCCTATTGAGTCGGAAACAAAAATGCTATAAATAATGTCACAGAAAAATTTGAGCGTTTAAGTTCTACGACTCGAAGACACCGAATTTAAAACTGATATTGCTCTTCAAGGGACGAAAGTTAAAATAAGAAAGGCAATATTAAGTGAATCGAAACCAATTAAGCGAAAACTATATTTAAAAATCAAAAAATGAACTTAATCAATCAGAAGTCGTACTCCTGCACATTACAAAACAACTCTGATGTATAGATGAAATTGTTTACATAAAAAAAATTAAAATTCAAGCCGACAAAAATAAACAGACAAATGATAGCCTGACAATTCAAGTTTTCTCAAAAAAAAAAACATTTCATTCATGTCGAAAAAACACAAGGTCCGAACACCGTCGCAAACCCCAGACCTTAGGGTGAAAAGAAAACCTTGGAGCGCAAAAAAACCTGAACCCCAGACCTTAATGGGACGGCAACCGCGTTGCATCTAGAGACCAATTGGAAAAGGTGAAGGTTCAATGAAAAACTCAAATCCATATCTTACAGATTTGAAAGAAAAGTTTCTTTATGACAAGGCAAAATAAACCTAGCCAATAGACGGTTAGAAAAGAGTCAATGAACGCAACTGAATAAAAAATATATCGATTTGATTTTTTTTTAAATCTCAACTAACGGAATTCGAAAAAAAACTAGATGGCCTTAAAGCTCGTCGAATTTCAAAAAACATGAAATATCTCTCACAAAAAATAAGGAGAAGCCACTTCCGCAGGAAAAAATCGCCAACAGCTTCTTTCGATTGAACGTTTCATCTCAGATTTGAAAAGGTAGTTTTTAAGAAAATTCAAAAAGTTTCTAGAAAACGGTCAAAGCTCAGAAAATTGACTTTCCGAAACCCGTAACTGTTTTCTGCTAAAAACAAGTAGTGGCCCTTAAAGTAGACAAAATTATCAAAATCGAGTTTCTCGATTGAACACTTAACCTCAGAATTGGCACGGTAATTTTTGAGTTAATTTTTATAAACTTCCAAAAAACTTGTTCGAAGTCCATAAGTTTTTTCTAAGAGAAAATGTTCGTAGCGAATTGTAAGGTAAGCTTTCAACAACCTGTTGTGTTGATCAAACATATGACATCAGATTTGGCAGGATAGTTATCGAGAATAGTCCAAAAAACGGTCAACAAATCATATAGTTGACATTTCCGCGAATCAAAGTTTTTTGTTAAGAAAAAAATGAGATTTTAAGAAATTAACCCAACTTGTAATTTCTATTGAACGCAAAAACCCAGGTTTTGCACGGCAGTTCTCGAGAAAACTCAGAAATTTTTTTAAAAAAGTCTAAACATCACAAATTGACTTCCGAGAGCCATAAATGCAAAAAAGCTTCCCACATACCCTTCTTAGGACTGAACCCAAAATCTTAGGATTGAAAAAGTTTTAAGTCAAAAAAATCAAAAAATTGATTTTTCAGAGCACGATAACTTTGGTGTCGCTAATGCAGGGAAGCTTCCCAGTACCCCTTATCTCCATTGAACCCCCAACCTCAGGTTTGAGAGATTGGTTTTCGAGCCAAAAAGATTCAAAAGTCGGTCAAAAAATCAAAAACTTCATTATTCTGAGGACCATAATTTTATGCTTTAAGAAAACGTTGGGTGTAGCCGCTTATTGAAGGGAGAATTCTGAATTCTCATTGCTCAATGAAACAAAATTCTCAGATTTGTTAGGCTAGTTTCCGAGAAAACGAAAAAAAATCAAAAAAGCCGGTCAAAATCCCCCCCACAGACTTTTTCGAAGGCTGTAGATAAAAGGGTAAAGCAAAAAGAGACCAGAAGAGTATGTAGCCACACAGTGTGTAGGCGGTCTTTCTGTGGATACCCCTTTTATAAAAAATCAGTTAAAGAGTTTTCGAGAAAAAAATATTTTTTGCGAGAAGGGAAAAAAATTTGCGGAGTATCTCAAAAAATTTGGATAAAAAACCCAACCTCATACATTTTAATAAAAACTATTTTAACCAAACTAAAATTCTAAGCAAACATGTCAAGTCAAGCAAGACAATTTAAATTCAAATTAGCAATTGAACAAAACTTACGAAGCGTAAACAAAGCCGACAACCTTTGAGCAGACACCAGTTGAGTAAAAAAAACATTTTGTAAAAACTTTTTAAAAGTTTCAAGTCCCCCTGAAACTACCCTGAAGTAACCATTTCCCAGCCAGTAGCTAAATTCAAAGTTTCTCGAAATTGAGCATGTCAGCTGATTGAGAAAGTGATTTAACTGATTTTGTTTAACTAGTTGTCAACTCGTTAACAAAAGTCTACACTCCGATTTGAGCAACATTATGATTGATACTGTTTTGATAAAATAAACCCAATTTGAGAAACTGGATCAAAAACTTTTTTAAAAATTTTTCGCTAGAAAATCTTATAAATTGAATCCACTTTCGAAATTAGAAGTCGATCACGTTTTTCGTGACATTTACACTTTCGCTGTTCGATAGTGGAGTGTGCCTTACTTTTAACAAACATCGAATCTGGACAAATTTAAAGATTTATCTTACAAAGAATTAAAAAACTATGAGAACCTATATAAAAAGTGGACTACTTTCTCATCGACTTTGGAACTTCATTCAACTTCGGAACTTCAAAGCTCTTTAAATTTCAAGTACAAACGTAGCCAACACCCAATTGGAAAAGATTCAAAAAACGCAAGTAACCAGAAAAAAAAACTGACTTGTTTTCTGAAATCTCAACTTTCGAATTTCAAGTACTTTTTTGATTTCCGCTGGGAAATTTCAAAAAAATCGCATTTTCGAACCTAGAAGTCCACCACGTTTTTTGTGAACTTTACAGTTTTGCTGTTCAATAGTGAAGTTTGCCTTGCTTTCAATAAAGGAAATAAATGAACTTGAAAAGAAACCCAAAAACTAAACCGCGAAAAAAAAAATTAGGTCTGAACAAATTTTAAGACTTTTCCTGGTAAAAAAAGCTTAAAAAAATCAACCTATATAATAGTCTGAACTACTTTTACTCAGTCTTAATTAATGATTGACGTTTTTTAGATAAAATTAACCCAATTCGAGAAAACTGAATCAAGACGCCAAATTTTATTTATTTTTTGTTCCGCTGGGAAACCTAAAAATCAAAATCCACTTTCGAAACTAGCAGTCGACAAAGTTTATCAAAAGTTGATAGTGGAGTTTGCCTTCTTTTTAACACAGAAAATGAATTCAGCTAAAATTATCAAAAGTCAAACCGCGATAAATTAAATTTGAGCCTGAACAAACTTTAAGACGTTTTCCTTGAAAAAAAAACTAACAAAAAAATAATCACGAATACTTTTTTGATATTCGTGAGTCGCACAAGCTTTTATGAGTCACTACATTCATTGACTCATAAAAACAGTCGTATAAAACATTCATAGAAACTTATAGGAACTTCATTACCTGCACCATTACACAAAAATTGAAAGGATTGACTTATAGAGAAAATGGTTTAAATAGCAAGAAAATACTATGGTGTGGCAGCTAAGCCAATAAAAAATAGACCGTGCGATAGACCGACATTTGTTTCCAAGTGAAACGTTTCCATTTTGGTCTGCCTTTAGACAACCGCGTATTCATACTCGTCAGTAAGCAGACAAATACTATATTACACAATCAGAATCGAGATTAGAAAGCTAACTCACGAAATAAATAACTTTTCATTATCAATTTCTTTCTTGTCTCGATTTTGATTGGTTAATATAGTATTTGTCTGCTAACTAAATAGTATGAATACACAGTTTTCTAAATACTGCTACGTAACCGAAAAAAGACACTGGCTGGATTGTAACTAAAAATGACCTAAGCCATTCTCAAAGTGATGTTGGAAATTAAAACTTAATAGAGGCGAAGTTGCACTTCGCATGAACAAGCAAAAACATGACCGATAACGCTACTGGGAAAAACTGAAAGTGTAAAACTTTGAGTCTACGAATATTCTTAACTGACGCACTTCAATTATGAGACTACGTAATCGCTAAGTGACGCAAAGCAAATTATGACGCATTAGCAGTACCTGTCAATTTGAAAAAAAAAGAAAAGAAATTTACCAACTAACATGCCTCAATTTATAGAGCGGACACATTTCAACTAGTATACGAAAAAGTTCATTAAAAAAATCCGACCCTTCCCGG